ATGTGACCTAGTCCCCTGGTTAGGGTTCTCATTTCTCTTATGCCAGGTGTTAGTTTGACCTCCCTTGATCTTTTTCCAAACACTACCTGCCTCGGTGAAAATCGCTCGCCGTGGCAACCTATCGGGTGACATGCGTAGCACATGTCCCAACCAACGTAATCTATGAAGGTCGACTACTTGCTCCAGCGGATGACCACGATTACTTAAAACTCTACGCCTAACCTAAACATCGATAGTTCGGTTACCCAACCAGAGTCGTGCAGTGCGACGTAGACATAAAAAAAGAAAAACGTTTCATGATTTGTATGTGGGCTGAATACTGCCATTTTGCCCAGACCAAAGTAGACGAATTTTATTGAAGAATCCACCACTGACTGTCTGGTGGTCGTTTATCCGCTGAATCGTTGCTAACATGGTTATTGAAGACGGCGCTTGCGAAAAAAATGACCTCGACCGAAATTTTGCAATTATCTAATCCTTTAACAAACTAGTGGTGTGATTCATGCCAAAAGACAAGCAGTAAAGAACTACAGAAAAAATGCGGCTTCAGAAAGAAAAGTTAACCAAACGGTACAACTTACGGACTCCGAAGCGGTCTGATCAAGTCATATACTACTTCCCTATCAGACTATTCGCTTCAAAATCTGTGCATCACTTATAGAGAAAATAATAATGTATCGTACCAAACACAATGTGAAGTGATGTGCAGCGTATCGAACAGATACCGGACTACTTTGGTTTTACTATTTCATCGTTCCTTCAACAGTTTGTGAAGCCAGTAGTAGAAACCCAAGATTTCAAGGATTTGGAGCTCATGTGGTAACGGGGATGCAAGCAATCCGAATCGGACGGAACAACTTGTGTTTGGACTCGTGCGACTGAACATGGGGTTTCGATCCCATGCCTATGGATAGTTCTTCGGTTGATGAAACAGCGACGGCATTCAGTCCATGATGTGTTCAAAATCACTGATTGGGCCGAGCATGTCGTGGAGTGGCAATACATACGATTCTCCTAACTAGCCCGTCAGCGGGAACGTTCTTCTTCGATGTTGGCTAAAGAAATCGAGTCTTAGAAACGCGAGAATGCGGACCGCTCTTTTCAATAATAAACTGATATGAAACAAACCGATTCAGACGCACTAATAAAACCTTGGATTATCGACACTGTGCTAATTAGTTCAATCGTCTAGGGAACAACTCAGTCATGGGCTATATAAACAGAGCGTGATCAGGGGACGCGTTGAACTAGGTTATTTCGACAGAGCGAGAAAATCCATCGGAATCCGTCCCGAGTGGATGCGTGAAAAAAGTAGCCATCAAACCCCCAGTTCAACACAGCAACTGGCGCACTATCTGTCCAGTTTTTATTTTGTCGTGCGTTCAATTTGGAATCCGAGGCGCATCGGGTTCCAGCGTAAGTTGTATGTTTAGAGTTCAGAGACTGACAACTGTGGATCGGTGATGACAGACCATACACACCCNCCCACGTCTGTTTCTCGCCTTCCTCCGCACCCACCCCCCCTCCCCTCCCCTACCCTACCCTACCCCTAGGGGAGAAACGCACAAGTGTGTGTGTGTGTGTGTATCCGGGGTTGAGGGTGGGGGTAGGAATTGGAAAACGGTGGGTTACATATTATCCCGTTCAGATAGAAGGAGTCATAGTAACGAGAACAAGACAGTATTTAACTAGAGGTGAACCGTTGTTTGGTGGCTAAAAATAGTTCATTGTGAATGTAGTCACGGAGTGTCTTAATTGGAATCAAATTGTTTCGCGAATAACGTTTTCTGCCTTTTTTTGTTCATACACCATCTGTAAGTTTAAATAAATAAATAAATAACAATAGTAAATAAAAAAAACCAAAAATAAATGAGAATGGATGACAAAGAATTTTGGTTTTCAATTTGATCACGAAATCACAGTGATAGAGGTGGACAGAAAGAAAGAAAATAATGGCGCTAAAACAAGCAAGTCAGGAGCACACTGGAACTCACCAGTCGCTCACGATGTGTACGAATCCCCATGCGTCGAGCTTGCATTGTGGCACGAACACTGTGGGGATGGGCCGAGGGGGGGTCAAGCAATAGACACACAGTCTCAGTTGAGGCTTAGTGGAATGACAGACAGTACGATAGGAATATATTTGAACAAATGCGGTCCAACCATGTGAATTTTGAATCTAGGAATGGATACTGAAAATAGGATTGCACTGAGAAGGGGCAGTTTAATGTGGTACTGTGGTACATTAGAATCATACATCAACCCGGAAGCGAAACAGTCTCATTTCATCAAGGATGATCATTTAGTGACTGCAATTTTTTTGCGTGGAAGCGGTATAAATGAAAACGAATTGGTATAGACATTAGGTTTAAGTCAGCCGTGCAATTTATTCCTCATGAACAAGCTGAAAAGTTACAGAGAAATCCATGGAGGTATGGTATCACGGACGAGGTGTGCAAGCGGGAGTCCCTTCATGCAGGTGCTGATAACGAGCACGCATGTTGGACGGCAACACACGCACATACAATCGTATTGATGCTGTGTGACAAGAGACAAGATTTAGCTGGAAAAACTGTCGCATCATTTCAGTCGTTCGGATGAGATGAGTGCGGGATACACCGCTGTAGGTGGATAGAATTTTTACGGGATCTGTAAACTAAGCAGAAAACGTTGAGGGGAAAACCGGAAAAGGATAAGAATGAAACGAGTGACGTCAGATATATGCACGTAAAAAA